TCCTTCCCGACGTCCATCTCCCTGCGGCCCGAAGCCCAGGGCTTTTTGCCTGATTTTCCCCGCTGGAAATCTTGGGCAAGCCGGGCATGATGGCGCACGCCTGTAATCGGGAGGCCGAGGCAGGAGGATCGTTGCGAGTTCGAGGCCAGCCTGGGCTACAAAGTGAGCTCAAGGCCACCCTGAACTGCATAGCGAGACCCAGCCTCAAAAAGACAAAAAAAAAAAACAAACCCCAAATCTCCCTGGGCTCCGCACAGCCCAGAAGCGCAGCCCCAGTGTGTGCGAGTGCGTCCGAGGCAGCTGGTCCCCTGCAGCTGGTCTCGTTTTCTGACGCCAAGGTCTGGCCCTCCGTGCCTTGCGCAGCTCGGTCCATCACTGCCCTTGGAGCCTGGGCTCGTACTTGCAAAGTGCCGCGACAATGGCCATCTTCACCGTGTCCTCCGTGTGGCCCAGGGCCAAGCCCACCCACTCTTTTGGCTTGAGGACCAGCTGGGTGTTGGGGTGGCAAAATGGAGTCTATGTGCTGGCGGAGAAGTTAGGGCGGTTCTGACAGCCTGGCTGTTTCATGGCCCCTCTCCTGCGTGTGACCTTTTACTTGCGTCCTGGTGATCGCTCACGTGGACATGTTCCTCTTGGTTTCAGTGAGTGTGAGCAGCCACTGGAGGCGAAAAACAGCAGCAGTCTGCAGAGAATGGGCTCCTCTGAGTCAACTGATTCAGGTATTTTCATATTTTCTGAGACAAGGTCTTGCTGTGTAGTCACTGTACAGCCCAGGCTGGCCTGGATGCTCCTGCCTCAGCTTCCTGAGTGCTTGGATTACTGGATTGCACCGCCACACCTGGTTTCACCTATCCTTTTAGTCTTCACCCACCACGTGTCTGCTGTGTGGGCAGCATTACCAGGAATTTTTCTTGAAATGCCCTTTCACCCAAGAATGGTAAGTGGCATTCAGAGAATCTTATGGGTTAAAATGAGAATCAGACCATCAGAAGTGTAATAATAAAACTATTTCAGTGACCCTGGTGTACAAGAAATGTGTGGTGCGGGCTCATTTTCCTTTATAAGATCATATTACTGCAAGCTCGCACAGGTGCAGTGTTTGGGACTCAGCTTAAAAAACTGCCAAGAGTAGAAGTCCTAAAATACAGTTAGTATGTATAGGGCTTTTTTTAGGGGTGTAATAAGGTTGGAATGAACCCAGCGGTGCTACAACTGAGCTACATCCCCAACCCTTTCTGTGTTTTTATTTTTTTCTTTTGTCCTTTTGAAATGGGGTTTTACTATGCAGTTCAGGCTGGCCTTGAACTCACTTTATAGACCAAGCGATCTTCCTGCCTCAGCCTCAGGGTTTTGTCTCAAATTTAAGTCCTCCTGCCTCAGCCTCCTGTGTGGCTAGGATTACAGACGTGTGCTATCACACCTAACTAATATTTGCTTCTTTTTGTGGTACTGGGGATTGAACTTGGGGCCTTAATACTGAGCGACATCCTAGCCCCCCCAAAGTGACTGAATCTTACACTAAGTTGCCCAGGGTAGGTTCAAATTTGAGATCCTCCTGCCTCCCAAAATGCTGGGATTACAACCATGAGCCACCACACCCAGCTAATTTGTATTTTTCATACCCCCAAATTAGGGATATGATTTGATAAGATAAAATACTTGAAATCAAGATTATTCCAGGAAAAATGGTGGTATCTTTTCTTTCCGTAATTGGAACTTACAAAAACTTGTGTGGGTTACCCGGCTATCCAAACAATTATGCTCTAAAATCATTTAATTCAGACTTTCCCCAAATCTGTGTGCCTTGATAATATTTTACAAGTAGGAGAAAGAGAATCAGTGTATACTGTAAAGATGGTATGGATTTATTTTAACAAAGAAATAGCGTTGTGTGCATTGTTTCCTGAGCAGTGGTCTACTTTTCTCACACAGGTTTCTGTCTGGATTCTCCTGGGCCCTTGGACAGTAAGGAGAAGTACGTGTTCACTACTTTGAACCCTTTGTATTTAGAAACTTTCCTTAATGTTTTTTTCTTGTTTTTGGGCGGGGGGAGGGTTTTCTCTGGTACCAGGAATCGAACTCACGACCTTGCACTTGCCAGGCAGGCTCTGTGCCGCTGAGCTAAATCCCCAGCCCCTTCCTTAATGTTTAAGTGACACTCTTGATGCTCTAGAGTGGAGCCTGAGAGTTAGCTGTTCCTAGATGCCTAGATCCTGGAAACAGTAGCATCTTGAGAATGAGTAGTTTGTAGTAGCAGTTTTGAGAACTTTTCCTCCTTCATGCTAACTGTAAGGTGTTTGTGGGTCTGACCTGAACACTTCCCCTACCTTAGGATGTTAAACTTTAAGAGGATGTGTGCTTTTGGTTTTTTAACATAGGGTCTCACTATGTAGTTCAGGCTGGTGGCGATCCACCTGCCCCAGCCTCCTGGGTGCTGGGATTATATAGGCATGCACCATATCTGGCAAGAGAATGTGTATATTTTAAGAGAAGACTCCCCCAAGTTTGCTTTTTTTTTTTTTCTTTCTTTTTCTTTTATTTTTGAGACAGGGTCTCATTAAATTGCTAGGTTGGGCTCAAGAGATGATGTTTATTGTTGTGTTAGGTCACTCCGTTTTTTGTTCTCTTTCCTGATTTTCTTGGTGCTGGGGACTGAAGCCACTAAGTTTTTTGTTCTGTTTTTTTGGTTTTTTTTTTGGTACTGGGGATTGAAGGTAGAGTCTTTACACTGAGCTATATACTCAGCCCTTTTAAAAAAATTTTTGTTACTTTGTTTTTAAGCAAGGGTCTCACTGTGTAGTTCAGGCCTGCCTTGAACTAGCAATCATGCATGCACTGGGATTACAGGCATGTGCCACAATCCCCACCCCTACCCCCTTTTCTAAAATTTTAAGACAGATTCTTTGTAAGTTGCTACGTTCCCCGGGCTGACCCAAACCTCCGATGATCTCCCCCTCCGTCTCAGGGTGCTGGGGTATCAGGTGTGCCAACATGCCCGCCACCAGGTTTGCTTTTTTACCTGGAGCCTTCTGTCTGGGATGCTTCAGGGGCTCTTTTCTCCCATCTCTTGTTCAAATGGGAATCTGTTTGGCTGCCCGCAACTTCAGACTAAGCCGTGTGAATACCTCCTGGGATGCTTTATTCTAATTATTTACCTCTGGTCTTCTTCCAGCCTTGTGGATCCCCTGAGGAGAATACATTCCCTACCTGTAAGTTAGCTCTTGGTTGTTTTGAACGAATGCCTGTCATTTCCTGCCCGAGTTAGGAAGGGAAAGCTGCCCTCTCTCTCTCCCAGTCTTTGACGCACTCAGGACCCTGCGTAGAGCAACTGAATAATGGCCGCCTCTTAAGGACTTTGTCCTCTGTCTGTCGGGTTTATCAACCAGGAAGTTTTCTCGTACTAATGTCCCTGGGGGTGGAGGTGGCACTGTACTTAGCTGCCAGAGGGCTCGGGCCTTGTGAGATGGGTGTGCTTCCTGCCCTGTTCCAGCTTCCCTGGGGAGCTAGCTGCCCTGCCTCGCACCGTTCAGGGTCTGAGTCTCCGGGTGCGCTTTTCCTTATGTGCTCTTCCTGCTTTCACTCCAGCAGAAGCTCCTGGGGTGTAGCCCGGCGCTGAAGAGAAGCCACTCCGACTCTCTGGACCATGACATCTTCCAGCTCATCGACCAAGATGAAAACAAGGAGAATGTGAGTGGTGTTCGGATGCCGACCCAGGGCCGATGAAGGCTGTGGAGATCTGTGCGGAAGAGGTGGCCTTGGCCTGCTTCCTTTCTTATTTAATTTTACTTTAGTTCTTGATACTGGGCAGTGACTCCAGGCCCTTCAAGCTCAGCTACATTCACAGCCTTTTCATGTTTTATTTTGAGACATGGTCTCCCCAGGTTGCCCGGGCTAGGTTTGAATTTACAAAACCACCTGCCTTAGCCTCCCAGAGTGCTGGGATTATAGGCATGTGCCATAATGCCTAGTTTAGTTTTTTAAAGTACTGGGGGTTGAACACAGGGCTTTCACACTAAGCTACACTTCCAACTCCTTATATTTTATTATGAGGTAGGGTCTTGTTAAGTTGCTAAATTACCCAGGCTGGCCTTAAACTCCAGGTCCTCCTGCCTGAACCTCTCAGAGTGCTGGGATGACAGGCATATGGCACCACACCTGATCTTTTGGATATCTGCCAAACAGGCATCAAAAAAAAACCAGGGAATGAATTGAACTTTTCTTGTTTTATTTTATTTTGTTTTTGGAGGGTACGTTGTGGTACTGGGGATTTAATTCAGGATATTTGCACTGAGCTATATCCCTGCCCACACCTTTTTAAAATTTTGAGATGTGGTCTTGCTAACTTGTTCAGCCTGAGCTCAAGCCTGCAGACCCTCCTGTTTCAGCCTCCTACAGTGCTAGGATTACAGGTGTTTGCTACCATGCCCAGCACATATATTTATTTTTTTCCTTTTCCTTTCCCTGTTAAAATACTACAGTTCAGTATCCTTATCATGTAATTGAGTATAAAGCAGTCTGCCTCCATGGGCTCTCCTGACTGTCCTGTCTGGCACCTTGGGCGGGGGCGTAGGGAAAGTATGAAGATGGCTTCTAGCCTGACCGCACATCCTGTGTGGTGCTAGACTGAGCCAAGGCTGCACTCCCCGAGCGAGGCTTCTCCCGGCCTTGCCTGTCTGGGCCTGTTCTGGCGGGAGAACAGCACAGGTGGTGAGAGTCCCCTGCAGTCGGCCCATCTCCTTGGGGGTCTTGGGCACGCCATTTATCCCGGAAGGCCTATTTCTTCTGTAACATGGGGCGGTCAGGGTGTTTGGTGGCTAAGTGAGTTAGTGTACAAAAAGTACTTGGTGGAGTGTTGGCAGTACAGGTAACTGATATTAGCTGTTGCTTCACGTAGGAACAAATTCTTAGCCGGGCACAGTGGTGCATGCCTGTGATCCCAGCACTTGGGAGGCTGAGGCAGGAAGATGGCTGTGTGAGTTCAAGGCCAGCCTGAACTACATAGTGAGACCCTTTCTCAAAAAAAAAAAAAGAAAGGAACAAATAATCATATCATGTATTTTGTGCCACACGGCTTTGGTCAACATTGTGGGACAGGCCATGGATGTAGCTCAGCGGCACAGCTCCTGTCTGGCAAGCACAAGGTCATGAGTTCGATTCCCGGTACCAAAAAAAAAAAAAAAAAACAACATTGTGAGAGAAGCATCCACACTGAGTAAATCTGTAGGGGTTTTTGTTTGGGGGCTTTGTTTTTTAGTACTGGGGACTGAACCCAGCGTCTTCATCCTGAGCTACCTCCCCAGCCCTTTTTATTTTTACTTTCGTACAGTCTCACCAGGTTGCTAGTAGTTGCCTAGCCTGGGCTTGGACTTTATGTCCTCGTGTCCCAGCCCTCCAGAGCGCTGGGATCGCAGGTGTGCGCTGACATACCGGCACCATGACAATTTTGAGTGGAAACACTTGACTCCTACCTATAGGAAGAAGTAGGAAATACGCCACCCTCAAACAGCTGTAAGTCTCCATGAACAGTTCTGACTTCTAGTATTTATACCCTTGGCGGATACTGTGTGCTCCTCAGGAAATACGACATTACGGAAAAGATGCTGCTTAACCCTTGTGTTATTGTCACTGGGCGCAAAGCTGCGGTGTGAGCTGGGCCCCCTGTGACCCTGAGCCCCGTCCCCAGCTCCGAGCCTGTCTTAGAGCTCCGCTTAAACAGAGCCGTGGGAGTTCTTGGCCACACAGGCCGGAGGTGGAGTCAGATCAGGAGCAAGCCGGCGCTGACGTGGCGGGGCAGAGGTGACCGGCGCCCGTCCCCTCGCCCGTCTTCCCAAGTCAGAGCCGAGCCCCTCGGGCTGGTTTGAGCCGGTTTCCTTGAACAGTAGATGTCTCAACTGCACTGTCTTGCAGGAAGCCTTTGAGTTTAAGAAGCCAATCAGACCCTCGTCCCGTGGCTGCCTGCACTCCTGTGGACATGAGGAGGGCAAAGAGCTCTTCACACAGAGGCAGAACTCTGCCCCGGCTCGGATGGTACGTGCGCTGGCTTTCGCAGGGGTGCGCCTGGTGAACGAGGACAAAAAAGCACTTTTTTTTTTGGTTTTTGTTGGTTTTTTGTTTTGTTTTGAGATGGGGTCTCACTGTATAGTTGAGGCTGGCCTCTAGTTTGCAGCTATCCTCCTGCCTCAGCCTCACCAGTACTGCAATTGCAGTCACGGGCCACCACGCCCCACAAAAGCAGCCTTTTGACGCTAGGCTAAAGACAGGGTAGTAGTTCTAACTTCGCTTATCTAGATTTTATATGTTTGTAAGCCAGACCATCAAAGCATTCTTGATATTTTTGCCATCTGGAGAGCAGGTGGGGAGAAGCAAGAGTGGGATGTGCTGTGTTAGTGGATCTGCAGAAGTACTGACCTTGTCAGGTCTGTGAAAATAATCTGGAGCACCCCGGGTGAGTCTCCACATGGCTGGATGATAGGATTGTACTAATTAAAATTAAACTGTGTTCTTTACAATGCCTCCAAAGTACTGAGGTACTTCCCAAACAGTGATTTTATTTGGAGAGAGTACTTAGGTTTTTTAAAGGTGGTTTATTTAGAACTGGTGTCTCATACCTATAATCCAAGCACTCTGGGAGACTGAGGCAGGAGGACTGCAGATCTGAGCCTAGCATGGGCCACTTAGCAATTTAGTGAGATCCTGTCTCCAAAAAAATTGATTAAAAAGGGTTGAAGAGGCTGGACGTGGTGGCACATGCCTGTAATCCCAGCACTGAGGAGGCTGAGGCAGGAGTATCCCTGTGAGTTCGAGGCCAGCCTGGACTGCATAGTGAGACCCTGACTCAAGACCAAAAAAAGAAGGTTGACGATGTGGCTGAGTCTGAAGATCTTGCACTTAATACCCAGTAGTGAAGGGGAAAAAAAGGTTATGGGCTGTTTGTCAGTTTTAGGGGTCCCTTGTTTCAGCTGTTTACTTCCCAGATTGCTCTTTCTTCCGGTTTCCTGTTGCTGGTCTGTACTGGATCAGCTGTCGGTATGTCTGTTTGCACTAGGGAAGCCCAGTTTGAACAGAGTGACTACATTTGGTTTCTTGGTTTTTCTGGGAGCTTGCATGTGAAAATACACATTTCCAGTCTGGCTTGTGGACTGAGGCTTGGATTAGCTAGTGATGCTCTTGTGTCCAGCATGAGTCTTCATAAGCCTGCAAAATACCTGGAGTTATTACCTCACTTGCCTGAGGAAGAAACAGCCATTAGGTTGAATGATTTGCCAAAAACACAAAGAGGAGACGAGCCCTTAGCAAACCGTCTAGATTCCCGAGGACAAGTGGCACTGAGGGCCGGGTATCAGAGCCTGAATATCTTTAGCATACCTGGGGACTAAGGCACCAGGGTTTCTCTGCGATCACTGGGCCAGCTCTTGGTAGGTGCTGAGGACACACTGAGGTTAGGAATGAAAAAGCTGTCAGGAAGTTGGTCCCACTGGTGTGGCTTTTGGTCGTGTTGGAGGGTATTTCTGCGTCCTTGCTTTTAGACCCCAGGCTGTGTCTCCTCATAATGGCTACTTGCTGTAGGAAGGAGGGAACTAGGTCCTATCAAGACATGGCTGTTTAAAAAAAAAAAAGACATGGCTGTTTTTCTACCACCCCATGGTAGGTAAATTTACCTATGCCGAATCAGCCAGTATTCAGGATGTCCCTAGGGAGGAGCGGATGTAGCCTGGGGCGTATTAGAGTCTGAGGCGAAACTAGTGTCACACAGAGTGGCCCGGCTCTGGGCAGAGGGTTAGTGATCTGTTCAGAAAGCTGGAGACCACTAAAGGACTGGCCTTGTGTCACAAAGGGACAGGGCCTTAAGGGTTCGTTTTAGGACTTAGCGTAAACCTTGTCATGTTTTTTAAAAAAGAAATGCATGTATCGCTTAACTTTTTTCTCCAGCTTTAGAAATCTCCAGTTTTAGCAGTGTGTAGATGTGGATTTTTGAGTGGGGTTTTTGGGGGTGTTCGTTTTGTTTTGTTCTGGGGGGGCTTCCCCTAAATTTTTCAGATTTTAGACGTGGTGGTGCACACCTGTAATGCCAGCACTCAGGAGGCTGAGACAGGAACATTACCTTGAGTTCAGGGCTAGCCTGAACTGCACAGGGAGACTTGGTCTCAAAAATGAAAAAGAAAATAGATTTTTTTTTAGACTTTATATTAGTTTTATATTGAGGATTTAAAATAATAATAATAATAACATAGGTTTGACATTTTAATTCCAGGAATAGTTCTCTCTCAGGGAGAGGGTATAGTGTGGAAAAGAGCTTAGGCTCTGGAGTCAAACAGGTGAGGTATGTGATTTTGGGAACCTCTTAAGCATCAGTTTCCTAGAAGAAAAGGACTTCCTAGACCCAGTGATACTTCCGCATAGTCCCAGCTACCAAGGGGCCTGGAGCAGAAGAGTGGCTTAAGTCCGGAAGTTCAAGGCCAGCCTGCGCAGTGTGAGGCCCCATCTCCCCAAAAAAAGGAAAAAAACTGGGCATGGTGGCATACATCTCTAACCTAGTACTGTACTCTGAAAGCTGAGGCAGGAGTATCATGGTGAGTTCAAGGCCAGCCAGAATTAGAGTGAAACTCTGTCTCAAAAAAAAAAGGAAAAAAAGATTAACTAAAGCAGGCTCAGTGGTACATGGATCAAATGTTTGAGGTTGGCCTGGGTTAGACTATGACTATGAGACCAACCTGGGCTATGCTAATAAGATCATGTCTGGAAAAAAAAAGGAAAGAGGGTTCACTGTGGGAGGCTGATGCAGGAGGATTGCCTGAGCAATTGAGTAAGACTGTCTCAAAATAAAAAATAAAGGACTGGGGATATAGCTCAGTGCAAAGGCCTACTACCTAATATCCTCAGTACCACAAAAAAAGATGAACTACCCTCAGCATGTTAAGGCTTAAACACAGTGATGTGGTAATTCTTCAGTTAAAAACTGAGCAGCTGTTTTGTTTTGTTTTTTAATTGTCTTTTAGCTTTCCTCAAATGAAAGAGATAGCTGTGAGCCAGGGAATCTGGTTCCTCTTCTTACGCCCCAGTCACCTGCGACAGCCGTTCTGTCTGATGAGGATGATGGCTTCATGGACCTTCTTGATGGAGAGAACCTGAAGGTACCTGTGTGTGAGTGTGTGTATGCATGTGTCTGCACGCACGTGAGTGTGCGCGCGCCCTCCGACCCACTCCAGCCACCCCTGCGGGCGTGAGCAAGTGCACACTGAGGGGCTGCTCCTCGCTTGTGGGTTGGGAGAGTCGGAAGACACCCAGATGCGGCTCCGCAGCTCAAAGGAGTTACCACAAAATAAGGACCGTGTAGGACTGGGTGCCAGGTGGCAGCAGACGGAAGGGCCTCAGGAGACCTCGAGGTCCTCATGGGGCTGTCAGCTGTGTCGCCTCTGGCTGTTGTCTGCCTCAACCTTGGGCGCGTAGGGGCGGGGGAGACTGCCGGGCGTGTGTGAGGCTGGGTCTGTTTCAATCTGCTGCTCCCAGATCTCTCTAAAGCCAGTTTTCCTGCTCAGCAGAATGATGAGGAGACCCCCTCGTGCATGGCCAGCCTCTGGACCGCTCCCCTGGTCACGAGAAGAGCAACGAATCTTGTAAGTCCCCCGGGGCCGCCTTGGCTGAGTGTAGCCTGAGGCGGATGCAACCACGGGGCCTGGGAACCTGGGTTTTCGACCCCACCTCAGCTTCCTGCAGACTGACTTTGAAGGCTGCATCTCCTGAGCATGTTTCCTGTCTGTGAAACAGGGACTGCGGATTAGGGGCAGTGAGCGTGTGGTAGCTCTTGAAACCTAAGGAGTTTGGAAAAAGCCAATCTGAAGCCTTTAGCCTGAAGACTGCTAGCTTTCCTTAGGTCCTTGTCACTTTTATTCCACAGCACAGCACTGGACAAGCTACAGTGACTCACAGACCGTTTCTCCTGTCTGTGTAGCTACTGTAAGCTCCAGTTGCCATCACTGGGAACAAATCCTCCCGTACAGAAACACCTAGAGGTGGAATGTCAGGTGTTATCACAGTGCAAATTCAGAGCCACATATTCTTTTCTGTATATACAAATTCAAATTGACAGCTTTTTGGGGGGTGGTTTCACTGTGTGGTTCAAGCTGACCTTAAACTAACTCGGTATGCAGCCCAGGTTGGCCTTGAGGCCACATCTATCCTGCCTCAGCTTCCCAAGCACCGAGGTTACAGATGTGTACTGCCACACCCAGCTTTTGATAATTGGTCACCTAAATTGTAAATATGGGGCAAATGAACTATAGCTTTGAGGCTCCTTATGGATTATAGGTTATAGTCGATGAACGTGTATAGCTTTTGAGAAAATAGGTTGAGCCAATACAAATAGTATTGAGTGTAAAATTATAGAACAGGAGAGTGCTTGGAGGTGACTGGATTTAAAAATCATGAACAGATGATTCCAGCACTGGGAGGCTGAGGCAGGAGGATCGTAAATATGAAGCCAACTAGGGCTACATAATAAGACCCTGTCTCAAAAGAAAGATCATGGGCAGTCTTGTGGAACCGCAACAGCCAGGAATTTCCTTTCACGAGTGCACGCTGGCAGAGCAGGGCGCAGTGGCACTTACCTGCATCGCCGCAGGGCTCAGCGCTGCTGAGCGCGCACCGGGAAATAAGCTGGAAAAGAAGAGGTAGAGCACCCCGGTCCCCGAGAGTGCAGCCCGGCAGGGCCACCCTGCGAGACGTGGAGCACCACAGGGAGGTGCGTGGAAGTCTGCGGCAGTGTCAGCATCACTCTCCTCGACAGCCTCCCTGAGGCGTGGGGCTCCCCGCAAAAGAGCAGCGTGGGCCAGGCGGGGAGTGAAGGAGGCAGCTGCTATTGCCCTGCTCGGACTGTCGCGAGGTCGGCTTTGTTTGTTTCTGTGGTGCTGGGGACTGAACCCTCAGCAGCTCTGGCCGCTCTGGAGGCTGAGGCAGATCGCAAGTTTGAGTCCAGCCCTACAGCTTACGGCGCCACAAGAAATAAACAGGACTCCATGGAGAGAAGGGGGGCACCTGCTGCTCTGTCCACGCCTGCCGTTCACTCAGTGATGGCGTCTTTTTTTTTTTTTTTTTTTTGGTTCTGGGAATTGAACTCGGAACCTTGCGCTTGCCAGGCAGGCGCTTGTGCTCCGGAGTTATATCCCCGGCCAGTGACTGCGTCTTCATGACTATGCCTATGGCGTCTGCCTATAGTGTAACCCGACTACCCAGCAGCTTTTCTAGATGTAGGTGAGGCATTGAAACCCGCTGCGGGGCCGGGGAGGTGGCCCCGTGGCATAGCGCCTGCCTGGCTACCATGAGGTCCTGAGTTCAATTGCCGGTACTAAAAATGAATAAGTAAAACCTGCTGGGCCGCTCCAGCACGGTGCAGGAGACAACCAAAAAGGTGTGTTCTTCCTGGCCCGTGGCAACTCTTGGCGTAGGGCCCGCAGGCAGAAGCTGCGGGGCAGGGAGTGTTCTTGGCTCGGGCTCCTGTTGTGGGCATTGTGTACCTGCAAGGTGGCCGGGCAGGCTGAGGTTTGTGGGCTGGGTGACTTGCTCGGCCGTTGCCCAGGTTCCCAATGCCCTTGGATGGTTCTAGGCGCCCTGAGTCTCCTGGTCTACGGGCCATTCGGCGGAGCAGCTTCTCACGAAGGATGGCACTGTCTTCTCTCCTTAGGGCACCCGAAGCCAGCACTTTGACGCCCCAGCTCCTTGTAGCCCCGGCACCCGGCCAGTGCTGAAGAGACCGGAGCGCTGGCAGGAGGACTCGCCCCGGGGGAGCACGAAGCGCAGGAGGAGCGCGGCGGGGGCCAGTCCGCAGGAGACCCCGGAGGTGGGAGAGCTGCTGCGCCTTCACCGTGACAGACTCCAAGTGGTGGCTCCTTCTCTGCTGGGACTTGCTGTTCTGTTTTGTTCTTTGCTGTTTTCATTTGTTTCCCAAGTATATTCTGATTGCCTTTGAAGCCTGTTCCTTTGTTTGTTTGTTTGTTTGTTTTTGAGACAGGGTCCTTACGTAGTTCAGGCTGGCCTCCAACTCAAAGTGGTCCTCCTGCCTCAGCCTTCCGAATGTTTGCTGGGGTTACAGCCATGCACGACCACACCCAGCAGGTTGAGGCCCTTTTAAGATCTCTGTCAGATCATTCCAACTTCTGTTCCTAGTGCAGGCATCTGTGGTCTGTTCCTGTTCCAGGTGAGGTTCTGCTAGCTCTTGGCATGAACAGGGATTTTTTATCTATCTACTGTGTTTTGGGCTTTCTGCAGATGTACCTTTCCTGGGCCTCTGTGACTGTCCAGGGGCTGTGCAACCTTGACCCTGCCCTGCAGGTGGCAGCACCCTCTGTCCCAGGCAGGGGAACCGGGGCACAAGATGACAAGGGTGTGTGGAGGTCTCTTCACCCCTCTTCCTAGCAGCTGTGGAGTGGGACTGTAATCTTTTCTGTGGTCTTTAGCTGGAGTGATAGACTGGGGTTTTTTTGCCCTGAGATTGTCCTCTGCCTAAAGAGAACAGGCTTTTCCTGGACTTTTTATTAAGTTCATTGGTACCTTTTAGGTACACACCATGATCACATTCATCATAGGGACTTTGTGCCTGCACGTGACATAACTTTTTTTTCCCATCCCCCTATCCTTTCAATCCTTCATCCCTGGAAATTTTTCCTTTTGCTTTGATGTGTTGCCCTTTAGCTTTATTAAGTTCATTGCTTAACTCATTTGTGTTTTTTTTGTTTGTTGGTTTTCTGGTACCGGGAATTGAACTCACGACCTTGCACTTGCCAGGCAGGTGCTGTGCCGCTGAGCTAAATCCCCAGCCCCTTCATTTGTGTTTTAATTTTCTTGTTTACTTTTAATTTAATTTCTCACTGCTTTAGGTTTGTCTTATATCTTTGACTTGAAATATTTTCACTGTCATTGAGTTGTAGATACTTTACTCTTCCTTTTCTTTTTCTGGGGGGTGTTTTTGAGACAGTGTCTCGCTATGCAGTTCAGGCTGGCCTTGAGCTCACTTTGTAACCCAGGCTGGTCTTGAACTCGAAATGATCCTCCTGCCTCAGCCTCCTGAGTGCTGGGATTACAAGCGTGCACCACCACGAACCCCTTGATAAATGAAATAATGAATCTGGGCACCAAACAACAGCTGCCCAACAGACTGTGCTCCCCGATCAAAGTAGATAGCGTCACCCATGTAAAATTGCCAAAGAAGCAGAGCCCGAATCTAATCGAGGCTCTCGAGAGTCTCGGTTTACAGGCACCCGAGGGACGGAAGATAATACGTAGTAGATGCCAGCAGTAACTGTGTACGGCAGACAGCTCGACTTCTCCCAGCAATGCAAGGAGAAACAAAGGCGGAGCGTGGGTACCAGCAGACCAGCCGGGCCGGGGCGCAGTTAGCCTGTGCAGGCCTAGGCTGGAGGCCCAGCCCCAGCTCCTGCCCCATCAACCGGCTGCAGGGTATAGGCCTTACTTCATTCTGGACTCAGATAAGTAAGTGGAAAGTCATCAAAGAAGTAGTTAGGGAAAACTGAACCTAGATCACATGTCTGCGAGCTGATACTAAGAAGTGATAGCCGGACGGGCTGGCGCAGGCCGTAGTCCCAGCACTTGGGCAGCTGAGGCAGGACGATCACAAATTTGAGCCCAACCCTGGATTCACAAGTTGAACTCGGGGCGCTCGCACTGAACTGCTGCTTCCGCACACATGTGCCACCACCACACACACACACACACATACGCACACACCCCTACTCCCCCTTCCAGCCAAATAAAAACTGATTTGCTCGACAGGGGCACTGGCGTTTCAGCCTCCGCCTGGCACCTGTGCACCTGTGTCTCCCCTCAGAACCCGGGCCTCATTGTCCACATTTGATTTCTTCCAGGTTCTGCACCATTCTTTATCCGTGGTGCCTTCCCCCAAAGGGACCATCGAGAACATCCTGGACAGTGACCCCCGGGACCTCATAGGCGATTTCTCCAAGGTAACTGCATGAGTCCGGCTGAGTGGCACTGGCAGTGCCTGGGGACCCCTGTTCAGAAGAGGGAGGCTCTCCCACACAGGCGCCCGCTGGTCCCCGTGGCACTGGAGGGCTCGCTGGTGCCCATCAGGGGCTTCAGTGTGGAAATGTCCGCAGGCCACCTGGCTCCAGCCAAGATCAGGCTGTGGGGGGACTGAGTAGCAGAGGCAAAAGTAAATGTGCCTGCAGGAAGGCTTCCAAGGGCCTGCGTTGGGACTGGCTTGTTCTGCTGCTCCGGGAAGCCTGGCTCTGGGGGTCCTGATGACTGGTGTGCTCAGATTTGTTCGGTTTTGGTTTTGGATTTTAGGGTTATCTCTTTCATACAGTGGCTGGGAAGCATCAGGACTTAAAGTACATTTCTCCAGAAATTGTAAGTGAGCCTTTGGAAACCCACCACCAGGGGCACCCAGGTGCCCTCTGCCTGGCAGCCAGAGTTGCTTTCCTTGTCACCCCGCAGATGGCATCCGTTCTGAACGGCAAGTTCGCCAGCCTCATCAAAGAGTTTGTCATCATCGACTGCCGGTACCCGTACGAGTACGAGGGAGGCCACATCAAGGTAGGGCCTTCAGGCGTGCTGTCCCCGTGGGGATGGGAGCCACAGGTGACATCTGTGGTTCTGCGGGAGCAAGCGTAGCCCTGCCTGTTCGGCTTGGTCACTGCTAGTGAGGATCAAGACCGAGGATCAAGACCGGAGGGCAGCCGGGCATGGTGGCGCACACCTGTAATCTTAGCATTCAGACTGCGGCAGGAGGATTGCTGCAAGTTCAAAGGCTAGCCTGGGCTACATAGTGAGACCCTGTCTCCAAAAAAAGGCTAGCTAGCGAGGGTGACAGCTCTCGGCTCCCGGACCCAAGAAGAATGAGTGTCCCTGGTCTGCTGCGCTCCCTGATCCACCCTCCCCTCTGCAGCAGGGGTGTCTCCCTGGGTCTGGGCTGATGGGTGATTCCGGGAGGGAGATAACAGAATCAGAGGTGCCTGTCCCGACCCTGGGGTGTCGCACGGGGCCCAGCCTCCGGGGCTGTGGGGCGGCCCTACAATCATGGGCTCTCAGGGCTGTGCTTCCCTCGCAGGGTGCCGTGAACCTGCACATGGAGGAGGAGGTCGCAGACTTCCTGCTGAAGAAGCCCATTGTGCCCACCGACGGCAGGCGCGTCATCGTCGTGTTCCACTGCGAGTTTTCTTCCGAAAGGGGCCCTCGCATGTGAGCGCTGCGGCGTCCTCTGGCCCGCTGGGCGTGGGGGCGACGCACCTGTCACCCAACACTCTGGGAGGCTTAGGCAGGAGGGTCCTAAGTTCCAGCTCACCCTGATCAGTTCCTAAAAGCAAGGCTGGGAGAGCGGGCGTTTTCCGGAACTCGTACCCACGTACAGCCAGCTCGTTCAGCAACAGCCGCCTCGAGTGTAGTTTCTGGGCTCCCCAGTCCGGCCCTGTGGGTGACACTGGCGCTGTGTACCCCAAGGGTCCGGCCTCTGCTCCCAGCTGGCTCCCTGTCAGGCCTGTGTATTGAACTTTGGCCTTCGCAGTTTGCCACCGGCCAGAGGGGCTGGAGTGTGTGAGGGGACAGTGGGTGACAAGTTGAAGGACCCTGAAGGACTTGGGTTCACACCAAGGCTGGGCAGCAAGGAGCCACCAGCCTGAGGGGGCAGCGGGAGGAGGCTGCGCGCGGACACAGGCAGGGAGCCGCCCGCCGCGGAGCAGAGTGCGGCCCAGCCGCCTTGGAGCCCGACAGCCCGGGCGGGGCCGGGCCGGGCCGGGCCGGGCGAGGGCAGCGTTAGGAGCCGCAGCGCCGTGCTGGCTGCCCAGGGGTGGAGGTGCCCGGCGTGGTGCAGGAGCACTCCGCGCGGCCGGGGTCCCTGCGGCCAGATGACCGCCCCCTGCTTCCCCACCAGGTGCCGCTACGTGAGGGAGCGAGATCGGCTCGGCAACGAGTACCCCAAACTCCACTACCCCGAGCTGTACGTGCTGAAGGGCGGGTACAAGGAGTTCTTCCTCAAGTGCCAGGTGAGTGCGGCCCCCGCCCCCCGCCGCTCCGCCGGAGGCCACGGGCCTGACCGCGCTGTCCTCCCCAGGCTCACTGCGAGCCCCCCAGCTACCGGCCCATGCACCACGAGGACTTCAAGGAGGACCTGAAGAAGTTCCGCACCAAGAGCCGCACCTGGGCGGGGGAGAAGAGCAAGCGGGAGATGTACAGTCGCCTGAAGAAGCTCTGAGGGCCGCGGCGGCCGCCGGGCGTCCCTGCTCCCCGCCCCTCGGCACGGCTGCAGAGACCCTTGAGCGGGGCCAGCGGTGTGACGCTGGCGGGCGGCCTGGCTCCACTCAAACCCGCCTCCCACGCTCCGGGCTGGCGCCCAGGGCGTGCTGCTGGCTGGGCCCCTGCCGTCCGAGTCCCCCGCGGGGCTCTGCCTGCCCTGAGCAAAGGGCACCCGGGCACAGAGGCCACTGCCGGCTGATGCCAAAGACGCCAAGGAGCACGTGGCTTCACGGCCACCCGTGGGTTTAATTTATTCAACTTTGTCAATTATTTTATTTTTTTAACTCCTGGGGACTTTGACTTTACTGCTTCGTTACGTCACAATACTGCCATTCCAGGGAGGGGCTGGACGGCGGGACTGCCTCTGCTCTTCATTAAAGAAGGGTAACAAGGCAGGCCTGTCCTGAGCCCCAGGAGGCGCCGCACCCCGGAGCTGCTGCTATCTCAGGCCCAGGACTGAGCTGCTCACAGGCGCAGCCGGCCTCAGCGGCATCCAGGACATAAGCTAACCTCCGGCTCCTCCCGGCCTGGCCGCCCACCAGCCGCCCACCTCGCCCCGGGGTGCCGCCACTGGGGGAGGCCGACCGCACTGGGCCGTGTGTGTCTGCTCAGGGTCCCTCTGTTCTCATGCTCTCGTAGGTTTTGATTCTTAAAATATAGTGGTTTCCGGGGGGAGGAGTGTCAATCAGGGTTGGGGGGCCGTGCGGGGGGCTGTCCTGGACTGTGGGTCCTGAAGGTGGCACTCAGGCTTATCATGTTTGAATTGGAGGGGAAGGGAGTGGATCGTCACCAGTTCCCCCTTACCCAGCCCCATGGAAGTGAGGTGTCCCGCACCACCCACATTAACGGCTTCCCACAGCACCGCATCGCACCCCAGCCTTTCCCCCATTGCTGTCCCCCGGGGAGCCTGGTTGTCCTGTTCTGGGGGCAGTGCTGGAGACGGCTGGGGGCTGTTGCAGGTTTCCGTTACATTTGGCTGTAAAAGAATCTTGTTGGGAAATGGGGGTGGGAGGGAGAGGGCCTGTCCCCGCACCCGCCAGGCCCCGGGGGTGGGGAGCTCCGATCTCGCTGGCAGGGGTTCTGTTGGTTGCATGCCTGACCAGGGCAGGCTCAGTCTGCCCTCATAGATGGCGTAGTGATCAGCTGTCACAGGCTCTGAAAATAAACGTGACCTTGAACCCATGCCCTCGGCCTGGTTCTTGGTGGGCCAATGGGAATCATTTCCCTTTAAGGTTGTTTTTAACTTGTCATTAAGTGTATTTTGTTTTGTTTTGTTTTGTTGTTTTCTGGTACCAGGAATCAAACTCACGACCTTGAGCTTGCCAGGCAGTGCTGTGCCCCTGAGTTAAATCCCCAGCCCTCTGTGTCTTTTTTAAAATCATAACAAAATGCTTCTTAGCAAGACCCCGGTTTTAAAAAAAAGTAAAATAATGATAACACTCACCCGTTACTACAGCACTTGGGAGGCTGAGGCAGGATTGCGAATTCAAGGCCAGCCTGGACTACATGGTGAGACCCTAAGTAGGTGAAACAAGGCCTTTTTTGCCTGATACAGGACTTGCACAATCCTGGCCAACTGGCTGACTTCCCTACCTTGGTGTGGCTGACTGCTTTGTAAATTGACTTGAGCAGGTGTGGCCGTGCACACAGGCTGTGCCAGCTGCTTCCCTGTGGGGTCCCTGTGCAGTCAGCTCCCTAACATAGCTGCTGAGCTCCGCCTTGGAAGCCGGTCCTTGTGTGCAGAGTGGGACCTATGCTCCAGCCTGTTGGCGTTTGTTCCTTCTATGCCTTACCAATAGGGCAACTTCTGTTCCTAGAACATTCGCTGCCCTCTGAGCCTGGCTTGTCACAGTGAGAGGCCTTCAGTGCAAAAGCGTCACTGTAGGAAAGCACATGGACACCCAGACAGCCAACCATGACATTTACTGTGATCACACAAAGTGGGGCGCTTAGGTTCACAAGCCCCAAGTATGCAAAGACGCCCATTTCCATGCCGGTTAGGGGCAGAAGCCAAGCCCACCTCTGACCCGATCCAAAGCTGCAGCCGCGCCCTGCTCCCGTCCACCGGTCAATCACTCCCAGGCACTGGGATTGTTTTCAAGGCAAGAATGAGGCCTTTCTTATTTTCAGACTACAATTATCCCTAGTTTGCCATTCAAATGCCTGTAACCCGAGTGTAGGGGGCTGAGGCAGGCGGAATGTGGTAAATTTGAGGCCAGCCTGGGCTCCACAGTGAGACCCTGTCTAAAAAACCAAGACCCCATTTTGTGTGCATGTACCTGCAACTCTGATTGTTACTCCCCTGGGAAAACAAAGGCCGAGTCAGTGCGTCCAGCAGAGGCTCCTGCAGGTCCCTTCTGCCTGCCTTTCTCCCTGGGTAACAAAGGCAGACATCTGTCCCCTGCGGTTGGCGCTGTGCCAACTTGTTTCTGGTGCTGGGTTAAGTCCAGATCCCTCATATGGAGGTACACCCCCTGCCCCGTGTGTATTTTTTAGTATGCGAAGTGTGAGTACAAGATGGATGGCTTCCCATTTCTTTTTTTTGGTACCAAGAATCAAACTCTGGACCTTGTGCTTTTTTTTTTTTTTTTTTTTCTTTTTTTTTGGTCTTTTTGAGACAGGGTCTCGCTATGCAGTTCAGGCTGGCCTGGAGCTCTCACTTTGTAGCCCAGGCTGGCCTCAAACTCACAATGATCCTCCTGCCTCAGCCTCTCATGTGCTGGGATTACAGATGTGCGCCACCATGCCCGGCAGGACCTTGTGCTTGCAGGCACCCGTTCATGTTAATTCAGGGCCTGTGAGGACCATTCTGTGAACCTGACTCTTCCTGTAGGCTGCCCCGGGGACACTGCACAGCTAAAGATGTGACTATGGCATCCCAGGCCCACATGTCCAAGAAGTAGGAATTGGGGCTCCGCACCAGGTGCTTCTCGCACTGCCTCTTCTCCAGAGAGGGGTGAAGGCAGAGCTGGGGTTTTTTACTCATTCAACAAACAGTTATGGCTGGGGATATAGCTCAGTGGCATAAGTGCCTGCCTAACAAGCACAAGGTCCTGAGTTCGATCCCCGGTACCACAAAAAAAAAAAAAACAGTTAAATTGTGCTGAGCACTGACAGTAAGAGGCATGGGAAACAGGCTTCCCCTCAAAGAATTTACTAAGTACTGGGTGAAGCTCAAAGATTAGGAGTCCTTCACTTCCAGAATAAAAAATGCTAGGACATTTTAGGAACACTTCACAAGTTTGAACTATGAAGCCAGGGGTGGTGGCACACACGTGGACTCACAGCACATGGGAGGCTGAAGCAGGAGGATCACAAGTTCAGCCCAGCCTGGGCAACTTTAGCCAGACCCTGTCTCAAGAGATGAGGGTGTAGCTCAGTGTAAAAACCCTGGCTTCAATCCGCAGGACTAAAAAAAAAAAAAATTGCTCATTCCAGTTTCCAGGGACTTCCAGGCCGGCTTGAGGACAAAAGGTCCGGCTGTGCTTTGAGCCGAGGCCCCTGCCTCCCCCGCCCACCGCAGGAGCCCTCGGGCCTCGTTAAGTCCTCCGCGGTGCCTGCTGCACGGCCATCTATCGCCAGCAGATGGCAGCAGTGTCCTGCCTCGACCTTCGGGGGAGCCCACTTCCCGGATCCGGCGATTTGAGGGGCCCCACTGTGCGCCCTGGCTCCCTGCTGCGTGCGTGGGCTGGATTTGCGCGCTAGGGATGGAGCGCAGGGCCACCCGCACGCACGCAGCCAAGCCCGCTGCCCCTGAGGGTTTATCCAGAGCGGCGCACCCTTTCCTTTCCGGAGAGGGATGGGCCTGACCGCTTGAGTCAAAAAGTAAGGAGGCAGCTGGACACAGTGGCACGCGTCCAAGATCCCAACGCTCTCAAGGCCGAAGCAGGGAGATTGTTGAGAGTTCAGGCCAACGTGGCTACGTAGCATGACACTGTCTCAAAAAAAAAAATAATAATTAAAAATAAAAGAGGACCTGGGCGTGTTGATGCATGCCTATAATCCCAGCACTCGGGAGGCTGAGGCAGGTGGATCGTTCCGAGTTCGAGACCAGCCTGGACTGCAAAGTGAGCTCAAGGCCGGGCTGAACTGCATAGGGAGACCCGGTCTCAAAAAGACAAAAAAA